CCAGGTGTTCCTAAGGCGGGGTGACGAAAGATAGCGTAGTGGAGCAAGAACGACACACACGCTTGTTCAGCTGTGTAGTATCTGCTCTTATCAGATTGAACCTGCCAAATAGTGGCTCGAAGCCGCGCGGCGGAAAAGCGCAAATTTGTGAGACCTCCAGTGACCTCCATAGCCGTGCTGCATCTCTTCATTTTCTCAATCAGGATGTGCCGCAGACACGTTTCTTCATCGCTCATCGGGGGAGTATGCCCAAGCAACGGCGGGGAATGAATGCTGGACCATTGAAAGGCCCCTCAGCTGCCATCCTCCTGATAGTCGTGGGCTTGCCAGTTCAGTCAGGTTAGTCTTATGCTTTTGGGCGCAGGACCTCCTTCCAGGAACTTTCTGGACTGAATGCGGATCGTCGAGGTGGTTCGAGAAGTTTCCTTTGGGCGCAGGTTCACAGGCTCATGGAGTCTGTGGCATCAGCCATGATGAGAACCAGAAGAGCAAACTCCCACTTTGCCCACCAGACCCAGAAACAGCAATCCCAGTGAAAAATCGTGGAATTGAGGGCGCAGTGAGAAAGATGAAGAGGAACCTCAGATTCCACTACATTTTCGCATGATGGTTCAGAGCAAGGAAGGACATGGCATTGAGACAGACCTATGGCGGCGTTGCGATGTAGAGATGGTCTTCATCAAACTCCTCTCCAGAAAGTTCTATGACACCAAGGTGACTTGGGGAGAACGCTTTATGTTCAGGAGTACTTTCACCCGAGAGCTTAACGAACTCACCGGACCAGCCCGGAGATGGCGGCAAACGGTTGAATTCTGTGAGGACACACCCAAGAAGGAGAACATGACCACAGCATTTAGATTGTGTCGACCACCCCCAGTGGAGACTACTTTGTTGGAGCTGCAGTGAAGGCAAAGAGCCTACCACGCCATTCAAGCTTAAAGGTCTACGCCATACAAGGATGAAATCAAGGACAACGAACGACTTGATGCCCTTCAGGACAACGGATTTTCCATTCAGGTCTCGGACTAGCGCTTTACAGACGTAGCGCAAGATCGACCAGACGTCCAACAGGCATTGAAGACACTCTCAACCCATGTATAAGGTAGCCTTCGCAGCACTACGGCACCTAGCAAGCTTTTTGAATGACACACCAAGATGTACCAGATCACACGTGATCACGGGGACTACGCAGAGTGGAGGAACAGGCAAGATCGAAAACCTTTCAACCTGGAAGCGTTCACAGATGCTAACTGGGCAGGACGCAAAGTGTCGAGAAAGTCAACGACTTCATACAGGATTTTCATGAACGACCATTTTTCTCATGCAAGCTGCGAAGCTCAATAGCGCTAACAAGTGCAGAGGCAGAGTCCTACGCGAGCTGCAGTGGCGTTGCAGACTTGCTACACGATGGCAGTTTGCTGAGATTCCTGATTGAAGGAGACATCCAGACGACAGCATACAGTGACGGCTCAGCTGCCCGAGGCAAAAACATTCAACGAGCAGGGCAAGGAGAGCTGAAACACATGCGCGTTCGCAACCTGTGGGTTCAAGATATGGTTCGCGAGAAGATCATTCGATTGCGCAGGGCTCCAACAGCAATCAACCCGTCAGATTTGAACACAAAGAAGCTTTCGCAAAAGCGCCGAAAGAAGCTGATGGCTTTGATCCCGATAGGTTTTCAAACTAGCGTGGAGATGTAGCAGTTGTGTGGCTACAAGGGTGTGAACCAACTGTCCTGGCAGGTGAAGGTGGCACGTGGCACGACTACCTCACGGTCAGGAACATGGTGATGATGATGGCGTTGATGCTTCGGATCGCCTACCTCATCTATGGGATCAGGCTGCAGCATGTACAGCTGAGATTCTCACAGAGTGTTTCGAGGAGCTGACGCGACGACTCCGGCCAGAACGACATCTTCGACGACCAAGTAATCCCAGCAGTTCTTCATCATCGACATCGACTTCACAAGAGAGCGGACCATTCACTTCAGGTTTGGCACCAGACAATTGCGCTACAAGGTGTATGGCAAGATGTTGTTCCATCCAGGTTTGAGAGAAGTTTGATGGACATTTTTCACAGAAGAACACAGCAGAACAGCAGAAGAAGCAGCAGAACAAGAACGCCATGAACAAGATCAACAAGAGCACCATGAACAAGTTCCAGAAGAACCTCATGGTGAAGAGCCGAGCCTAGAAGAGAGCCAACCTGGACAAGAGCGATTTGCTGTTTTCAGACAGGCTGGACAAAGTGGTGACCATGAAGAGACGCTTGCAACAAGAAGCTTCACCTGGTGCAATGAGACCAGAATATGCACCTGAACCAGAGCCAGAAGATGATGATCACCATCCTGGGCACCATGGAGATTGACATCTACATCATGGACAAGTTCGAAGGGTACAACAACAAGCTGACGATCATGGAGAAGTTTAACACCTTCGAGCGGTTGACATGAGCCATGGACCATGGACGCTCAGGTCATGGAGGAGAAGGTCATGGAGAAGAAGAAGGAGGAGAAGAAGAAGAGATCCCAGAGATTTCAAGCGAAAGTTCAGAAGTGCTTTTTGGACTTTGAATGGGAGACAGAAGGTGCTTGAAACCGAGCCCAGGACATTGAGAATCAGCAATGGGCTATGCTTGAGACAGCAAGCAGACCTCTTGGAGAGATGATCGTTAATAGCAAAAGTTCCTATAAGGAGGACCAGCTCTACGGTATGATTCCAGTTGACCTGGCGACCTTTGAGTGGTACAGGCAGCAGATGCTGGTACGTGGTGAGGGAGTTGAGGCGCATTTAGTGCATGCAGGCCATGAGCTTGCAAACCTCATCAGTCAGATCTTGGACACAGCGATGACACAGCGCGGGGTGGTGAATGGAGACATGTTTGGCAGGCTGAGGCTCTTGCGTGAGGAGATCCTAGAAGCAATCGATGATTGAACCAGAGAATGGACCCAGGAGAAGTTTCAGGTTCATCAAGAAACTGCAACGGCTTGAAAGAGAAGCCATTGAAAGAGCAACAAACAACATGGAAGCGGCAGGGAGCCATGCAGCAGAAGAAGTTCGAGATCAACGCCAAGAAGGACATGGTTTCACGGCAGAGGAAGAGCTTGAGAACATCGAAGAGGTAATGTTCCAAGTACTACCTGAAGAAGCTGATGCCATTCCAGGTGGCTGGACTGGAACTACTTGGTGAAGGGGACAACCTATGGCAAACCTCCCTACATGAGGAGAATGACTTTCCTTGAGGCGATCAGCGACAATGACATGGAGGAAGAGGACAAAGAAAACGCGCCAGGGCCCAATGACGCAAGGCAATGAAGTGAGCGGGTGAACTTTTGACACTGGTGGTTTCAGTTAAGAAACCTCCTGGCCGCCAGAGTCAGTTCAGTGACTTTAAGTATCGAGGAAAAGTGGGGTGAATGAATCATTCAGCCGCAAGGCAGGGTGTGAGACTTTACCATACCCAATCATGAGAACGCTCATGACGGTTCACAAGCACAAACTTGTATGTACACAGTGGCGTTCGCGCCCAAGAGAAAAGGGTGCAACCGTGTTTTGACAGTTTTTCATGCGGCAAGGCAACATGTGCCTGACTGTGACAGTGCGCGTGAACGATAGAGGTTGTTATGTGATGAAGGTTGTGAACGCCGTTGGAAACAGAACTGGCCGTGGTGAGCACCATGATCTCGATGACCAAGAGGCGCAAAGAAGATGAAGACAAAGGACGGGATTTGTTAGCTGCTCCTGATGAGTAGGACAAGCTCAGTGGCAGGAAGCCCAGCAGGAGGCATTGAGGAGAACGAGGCCACGGACCATGTTTGGATAGTCTTGTGCGCGTTGATTGTGGCCTTGAGCAATAGCGTTGGCTTCGGGTCTGATCGGACACTACACGCAGAACTTGCAGGGAATGTGACCGAGATGAACCAGGAGATCGAGAACTACAACAACGGGCAAATCAAGAGGTGTGATCAACGGACACAGGCAACAGAGTTGCTAGATTCACACCTGTGGTGCACAAGTATGAAAATGAAATGGAAGAGGCGCAAGAGAAAATGTGCAGAAAACTGCTTGGAGTTGAGGAGGTGGTCGAACATGTGGAAAAATGAAAGACGGCGCGAGCGCAAAGAGATGAATCCTGTGGAATGTTTACAAAGACGGAGGGGCCGCTTTGCAGGGCTGAAGCGCAGATGCTCAGCATGTGCGGACACTTCGGTGGGCAGGTGGTTCGTTTTGACAGCCGGTGCCCATATTGGAAGGACGCAAAATGCGTAATGTTATTGCAAGCGGTGTCGTAATGAAGGGGCCATGTTTGATAGGCGGAAACAGGTAAATCATCATGACACCAGGGTTTACGCACGCACACACACACACACTGGCCATAGGCCCAAACCGCCTTGAAGGAAACGGAGCGTTCGCACTGCTTTGCGCGTTTCATTTCCTTATGACCCATAGAGTTCACCCTTCCAATGCCCGTTGGGGATCAAAAATTAATCCAAAGCATTTAAGCGTGCGAACATGATTCCCAAGAGCAATTGGGTGTGCATGTTCATCTTGGTCAGGGCAACACACGTTGAGTGAGAACCATCTCCAGATGTTGAACCTGGCTCGCCGCCAAGGCCAGCTGAGGCTCATTGCATCATCTTGAAGCATGCGCCATGCGCGTTCACGATTTCAACTTGCAGTCTCTTCATCCCACCCATGTGTATTGCAATTGTCAAAGTGTGGGGCCATTGAACGCAACTCCCCGAAGTCAGCGTTATAAAGCAAAATTCCAAAGACCCACACCAAAAATGCCAAAGCGGTGCGCTGAGAATGTGGCAGGCGCGGACATTAGCAAGGAAATAGTTTCACAGTGCCATTGTGTTACGTTTTTTGATGCAATCATTTTGGCAAACTCGCAGCGCAGCTGGCCAATAAACGCCACAAAATGTGCTCTTGAGTCTTGATGATGTGGAATTGTGGGCAAAAAACGCGTTGCCTGCAGAAGATTGTTTTCGCAGGTTGATGACGGACAGCACTGAAGTCTTTCCTGCACGAAACTTATCCTTTTGTTTTCTATTGTGCTACTCCTTTTGTGGGGCCTGAATATCACAGAAGAGACAACAGACTGCCAGGCCTCTTCAAAGGTGATTTGCATTCTTGTTGGTGTGTTGATTTGATGTTTGGAAACACAACTTTGTGAAATTGTGTTTGCCATTGTTTGCCCAACCAATCGCAAGAACAGTCTGCTCAGGCGAGACGAGGTCGTACAGTTCTAGCCGTGCCTAGATCCCAGATGCAATGAGCACGCAGCCAACTCGTCATTGAATGGCGTTTGTCATGGGAAACAAAGCATGTTCTGGCACTGTTCAAGGCAGGAAGAAGAGCTTGATGCGGTCATCGCGTGCCGCTACTGAGTTGGTCCGTCGTGACCACGCCAGACTTCAAATTTTCAAGCATATGAACGTTACTACCCATGAACTACGTTGCCAAGCGTGCAACAACAGGCTCGTATCAGTCCAATGGCTCAGGAAGGCTGAAGAAGAGGTCACTCAAGACTTTGATCCGCAGGCGCGGCCAACCAAACCACACCTGTGGTTTCTAGTAGTTTCTTGTTACTAGTTGCGATGGCCTCACCCGAGTAGCTTGTTGCTACCAGTAGCAACGCCGGGAACTACTAGCAGCTTCTTGTCACTAGTAGCGTCAAAAAATGTTTAGTTTCTTTTTTAAGACACGTTTCATTTGCGGGAGAAGTTGGGGCATTCTCCAGGATTATGTGAGGCCTGGCATCACTGAGGCTCGAAATGTATTTTTATTGGTTCGGGGGAGATGAAAACAATGCAAGCCTGTGCTGCAGGCGGAGGTCCGTGAGATGAAAGCGGCCTTTGATCTCCTTGATGCTGATGGTGCCGCTCTCAACATGAAAGGAACAGAACAAGGCCTTCCACCCTGTAGGGTTGGTTCCTTCAACATATATGTTCGCTTGCCTCATTTCAATGCAATTCCTATGCTGTAGTTGGTTCCTGTGGCGTTGCGCAGGGCGTTCGTTGGTCCACTCACGGATTGACCCCGTGCTGGGCATCTTGCGGTCCACTTCGTGCCCAGCAGGTTTCGGCAGCGTCGAGCAGCATCGGTCAGGTTTGAACGGTGTGAGTGCCAGCAGTGCCACTGGCCATTCGGTGAGGTCAAACCCAAGCAGTTGGAGAGAAACCGATGGCAAGGGGCCTCGCAGCAAAGCCTCCACGGGCAACAAAGCTGCCCGTGAAGCACGGCATGGTGGTAGGCGACTTCGCCTTGGCCTCCCCATGCTGAGGAGGATGACCGCCTTCCGTCATAGCGATGGGCCTGTCCACATGGCCACCCTCGGCGTGACTGACCGAAGAACATCGATCTGTCGGAGACAACCTGCACTTTGGATACTCACTTTTTGCAAGCCTAGAGTCTAGAGTCTTCCATTGGGACGGGCCTCACTTCAAGTCAGCCCCAGCTTGTCAAAGCGAAACGACAGGGACATGTCAGCAAGGCTTTGTCCTTGCAGTTTCTCTCCGAGGCCGAGGAAGGATTCATTTGGAGGTGCTTCGGTTTGCTTGTTTGCCTGGGGGAACGGTGGCATACCTGGATGCCATCATGGGCTGACATGTTTGAGCGCGTTTCCGGCCACAGGACATAATCGACAGTCTGGAAAACCTCGGCTGGGACAGGCCGCGCCGTGACCAAAAACCCGCTACACTCCCTGCAAGAATCATGAATCATGAAATTGGATGGCGTGGCCCCATGGCTATGACAATTTTCCTCCACAAACAGGTGGTGTCTACTTCCATGATGGTTTCACGGAGTGCAAAAAAGAATATATATATATATATACATACAGATGTTTTCACTGCGCTGCATGACATGGAGGCTTGAGCAGGAGCCCTTGATGGTGGCGGTTCGTGCTTGCCGCCGGAAAGGTCACAAGATGGACTTTGCAGGCGCCAAGCTTCGCAACTCGGAATTTGGAAGGTAGGCTGCGTATGTTTTTGGTTTGTGGGATGGAGGCCACCGCTAGTAGGTTGGAGGCCATCGCTATTAAATTTAGGTTCCTTACAGTCTTTTTCGTATAAGAAAACTTCCTCCATGTGAAACCATGCCTACAGCCACCAGTACTTGGACTGAGTGTGAGTGAGGTCTTTTGTCATGTGGAAGATTCGAAGACATGTAGCTTTTGGTCAACTAGCATAGCGACTAGGGGACGCTACACTGGAATTTGAGATTCTCACGGAAATAGCTATGTATGCATTTCCAGCTGTTGGGCCATGCGTTGCCCTGTTTCACGGACTGTATTTGGCTCAAGTCTATGGAAAAGTGGGCCGAGCTCACGATCGTCATCGTGTCGCGTGTGTCATTGGCCTACCAAGGGAATTCCAGAGATCTTGAACTTAACGGTATATTTATTTTTCAGAAAACGAAGTTATACGGGTGTGGTATTTACGCGTTTTTGTGGTTTGTGGTTTTCTGCGTTTTTTTGAACGTGTTGGTTGTTTTGACGAACGTGTCTAACAAACATGTCAACTTGTACTCTGTCATCAAGCTCTTGCAAAAATACTAGCTCTCATGATTCCCACGCAGAAGTCCATCAACCATCGTCTATCAGCAAGTCCACGACGTCACATCATACATCATCAGGTCATCTCCTCTATGAGGGGAATCTGGTCTCCAAGACCTCCAATCTCAATGAGTCCTCAATCTCCAGCAACTGGGCCTGGGCCCGGGCTTCTTTGTGGGGGGGGGCGCAAAAAACATAAAAAAATGATTGTCCAATTCCACGAGCAATTTCTATTTTTATCGCCCCCCGCCCTCCCCGGGAGAAGTCCGGCAGGCCCAGTTGCTGGAGATTGAGGGCTCACTGAGATTGGAGGTCTTGGAGACCAGATTCCCCTCATAGAGGAGATGGCCTGATGATGTATGATGTGATGTCGTGGACTTGCTGATAGATGATGGTTGATGGACTTCTGTGTGGGAATCATGAGAGCTGGCAACTAGTATTTTTGCAAAAGCTTGATGAGAGATCTGACAGATCAGAGCCATGCCAATTGGATCATTGCATATCAGAAATGGGGGGGTTCAGGCTCTATGTGGTGAGGGTGGATACCTATACTGTATGGTCTCAATGGTGGAGTGTGGAAGAGTGTCTTGATTTGATGGCTTAAGATATCCAATGAAGATGAGATGAGATGAAGCATTGGGTGCATCAAACAGCTGGCGTTGGGCTTGTGGCTGTATGTATGCAATTTCATTTGGGACCAAAGGCGGCTGCATAGATGCAACGCCTGGGCATGAGCGATTGGGACCCTGACTTTGAGCAAATTGTATTGCTATACAAGCCATTGAGGAAATGCCCCAGACAGCAGCGCAATATGGATGGTGCTTCGATTGGGTTTGTTTGGCCTCCAAGAGCACATGGGCACCATGTGAGTGGGGAACTTGCTGGGCAATCAATGATGGGGATGGGGTCCATGGAATGCCTGGTGCAAATGGGTTTGTGCGCACGATTAGGTGGCCCAATGGAAGATCAGAACCATTTGGGTACAACATTGGTTGATCCTCCTGATTCATGCTATTGGTAGAGCATATTTTTTGCGCAATTTATCGGTTTACTTTTGGGTTGGTGTTGAGGTTTTGAGCTTGGGTGGCATCACAAGAAAGAATGTCCTTGGCAATGTTGGGTGAACATTGGGAGCATGCTGAGTATGCCAGGTTTGGTACAACCTGACTTCATGTATGTCTATGTGTGGGCAAGAAGGTTGGGGTGAAGAGAAGGTTCTTCATGAGCTTGGGAATGAGTAGTGGCCACACAGCCAATTCAGACCCTTAGTGTATCTATGGCTGGATCGTTCCATGGGCTTCATAAGGTTCTTTGGAAGATTTCATCGTAGATGGGGGATATAGAGCATAGACCTGAAGAGCCATTGGGTGAGAGCAGTGGAGATGAGCAGTATTGGTCCAATCGAACTTGTGGGATAGGATGTGAACTCCCAATGCTCGCAGAATGGTTCCCTATCACCCTGAGAATGAGGATGAGGCTTATTATGGGTATGGGCGTCAAGAAGGCCATGCAAAGCCCAATTCCAATCAGTCATCCAGGTCCAGTACTACTAAGCAAGTTTCTCAACTTTTGTTGGGCCTGGTGGGCACATTGTGTTTCAAGATAATGATCTTCTCTCCATTTCATAAAGAATGTGGAGGGAGAAGCCCGTTTCATAAAGAATGTGGAGGGAGAAGCCCAAAAAGTGCTGCTACCTTTGAAACAATGAGAATGCTTATGGGCAAGGAAGGGCAGAGTCGGATCCAGAAGTTGTTTTTAAAAAGCAGAAAATGGTTTTGTTTGGGAAACAGGAGCACAAGAACATATCTAGACCGCAGCCGTAGAAACTCTTTCAAAGCATACAAAATCTAAGAAAAGCATCACAAAAACGCGTAGAAGCCACACCCACATAACTTCGAGCTCTCCTATTTTTGAGGAGGTTGCTTTTCACTTCAACAAGGAAATTTAACCATGTGTGGAACAGCTTGGAGATTTCAGAATGACATGAGAGGCTTCATGGACGCCATCGCACCGCTGTTGACAGCTGCCGAGCCGACCCAGGCACGCGCATGAATTGGCTTCATCTTGCTTTTCGTATGGTATTTTTGCATGTTCGGAGGAAGAGCACCCCATAGGTTCAAGCAAACCATCGACGGTCGACTTTTCATGAGCTGATCACACGGGTTCGTCGCCCTGTCGAAGAGGAAAGTGTGAGAAGAGCCTGGCGCTTGTTGGATGAGAACCGTAAGGGCCACCTGGACATAGAGGACAGAATGAGCTGAGCATACTTGCCGCAGTCTTGCCCTGGATGTTTGTTTTTTCAAGTTTGGGCGTTCATCACAGCCTCAATCCTCAGGATCTGAGCCGGGCTGTGCATAATTTCGGCCTGGAACTATCCGTGGAGGAGCTCCGAGACATGGCCCGAAGCCATCATTCAGCTCTTCAAGAAGACATCATAAGTTACTAGTAACTAGAAACTACTAGTTTGTCTTTGAAACTTCCAATAGGGAATCGTTTCACTGGGAATCGTTTCACCTGTAACCAGAAACTACTAGTAGGTCTTGGAAGCGGTCTTGGAAGCTATGGAAATCCCACTGACTTACCGCTCAGGTCGCGTATTGTGATGGCAACGGCAGTGGCGAGGCTTGTTTTGGGGTGCAGCCGCCACCAAACCATGTTTTGATTTGGTTTTGCATCAGATCACCTTCGATGAGTTCTACCAGATGCTGTCCCGCAACCAATGACAGCGCCCTCCTTCAACATGGAGGATTGCGTAGCGGAAAATGAACAGCCCCTTCACCAGCGTCTTTCGGACTGTTGACTGTTGACATGCAGCATGTCCCGCGTCAGAGTTTAAACACCACAGGAGAGACTCTGCAGCCATCTCCGTCCGAGTAGCTTTCGATGCCATGGAAGAATCAGGTGACACAGCACCCAGACATGGGTACAGAGATGGCAATTGGCCTAAGCACAGAATTTCCATTCAAAGTCGGACACCCGTTGAGGCAATGCAAACGACCCTCTTAAATCACAGAGTGGTCCTAGTTGCATTCAATACAACATCAGCATGATTCCATGGCGAATCCAAGCGCTACCATTGAGACCTCGGAAGGCTGGTGAACACGACCAAGCAAGTCAAGTCTAATAGCGATGGGCGTCAACCTACTAGCGATGGCCTAGTCGATGGCCTCTATTTATCAAAAGGATCATCCAACATGCGCGGAGATGCATCAGGGACCATTGTGGCAGAAATCTACCTGGACAGGGCACGGTGCCCAGGCAAACTCCTGCGCAATGAGGGAAGAATCTTCAGAGGCGAAAAAAGAAAGAGGTTCAAACTGCTCAACTACTCATCTAGGCAGTTGGAGGCCATTGCTCTTAGGTTGGAGGCCATCGCTAATCAAATAGGTTATTCTCGCACTATTGGCTCAAGGGCGGGATGAAGGCAATGGCTTCACGCGCGCCATGAGCCCAAGAAAGCGCTCCAAGGCGTGACAACTCAGGTTGTGTCGTAGAACTTGGACGGTGCTATGCGCGTGGACTGTTTGAAGCGTGTTTGAGCATCGCGGTGCTACACACCTGTGCCAGGATGCATGGGAAAAGCGCCGCTAGCTGCTCGTTTTGCAGATGCCTTCGTAGTAGACGAGCCTTTTCCTGTTGAACGTTGGTCACATCGTCTGCCCAGCTTCAACACTCAACTGCAAGGGACGCACTTGCGACCCGCTTGACCTATCTATCCAAGGTAAGCGCTTCCAGTCGGCCACCGCCGCTGTGCAGGGTCGTGGTGTGCAGGGTGGCCCGGTGATCTGCCAGTTGGGGCGTGACCGTCCAGACTGTGACAGTGTGATGACGTCCAAGGTCGAACAAATGGCAGAAGGCTCAAAAGTTGGCCCCCTTGAGCCAAAAGGTGACTCCATCTATCAAGACTCTGGTCCCAGAACTCCTCGAAAGTGCAGGACGGACCGCGCTTCACTGCGCTGTCCGGTGAAGTTAGGCTCCCAGGCTGAGGCCAGTCGTTTTGCAAGGACCGAAGATCACGGTGGCTGCCAGAAGGAGCATCTTCACGCATGCCCGCGCGTATTTGCTCCTTGGCAGGAACGGGTCGAATGAGTGTAGCATAGCGTAGCAGCATGACCTAGCAGCCAGTGTAGCCTTAAGACTTGACGGAGGTCCAATCAGCATCGAACGGCAGAACCTGTGAAGATGCTGCTGGTCAAGTCTGTTGTGGCAGGCTAGGCTTGGAAGACAATTCCCATAAAGAGACTGAGTCCAGAAAGAAAGCAGGCAGAAAAGGAAGGTAAGATCTTCTTCAACAAGGCTCCCCAACCTGCTACTTTACCTTCGTGAAGGACCTTACCTTCCTTTTTTCTGCATTGCTTTTCCTCAACTCAGTCTTCTAGGCTAAGTCTGACAAAGTCGACTACTAGGCCATGCATCCCAAGACGTCAGGCACACGCGTTCACAACAAGCAGGATCTTGCTGTGAGCCTCGGCATGTAATCATTCACCTTTCAGTGGTGGAGGATTTGCTAGACATTCTGCGGCACAGGACAAATTTGAAGGAGAATGTGGTTGAGAAACAGGAGGAGCGAAGGAGAATCCAACTTGAACAAGAAGCACAGGAAGCCCAAGAGGAAGAGCAGGCCTTGATGCAAACTTGGACTTTCGCGTTCGACCTTTGTTTCTTTTGGGCATGTTTCCCAGCTATTCTGGAGGCTTATCATGACGGAGCTAGCACTTTGGCAAATACAGGATGCTTGTTCGATCAGGCGCAAGTGCCAGCATTGCTGATCCCTCGCTGATGATCTATTCTCTCCTTCTGTCTCTGAAGGTGATCAAATTGGAGCGGCTCGCCCAACTATGCAAAGAGGCTCTGGTAGCGATGCCATTTGTCCCTAGTAGCGATTTGTTACTAGTAGTAATGCCAGGAGCTACGTTCGTAGCGTCCGATCGCTCTGTTCCTAGCGATGCCCTTTGTCAGTTTTGCACCAGATGTGCTCTAGAGAAGGACAGTGTGCTGATCCAGAAAGCCGTGTCTTCCGCCCAGAAGTGCGTTCGACTTCTCCTCAGCTGTAGCAGAGGTGCATGCGAAGGAACGGGAGAAAAATAGGAACGTGATCCCTGAGGTTTGCTTGAGGACTTAAAGATGGCCACTCATGAGGATGATGAGCTTTTGAGGCAGCGGGCACGGCACGATTTAAAGCTCTTTTGAAAAAAGAGAACACGACGCCCCCACAGTCTCTGCCCGAACCTGTGCAGGGTTGTCCAGGAAGCTGAGCCAGCGCAGATTTCATCCAGGCTGCTGCAAGATCTCCAGAGACACTTGGCACAAAGAAATGGCGGAGCAGTGCCACCTTTGCACGGAATACTGTATATATATATATAGAGAGAGAGAGTCAGAGTCATGCGAGAATATGTTCAGAGCCGAAGTGAACAGACCAGGGCTTGTTGCAACATCTTTCATTGGTTTCCTGCTTTTGAGTGGACTGGTTTGCTCCCACCATTTTGCGCGTTTGCGTCCTTCATCCGATTTCGCCCGCGCGAGGCGAGATTGCCGCGATGCGGGAAATCTTGAACCTGGCACAGGCGGATCTTTGGTCGGCATCTCGTGTGGTGTGGCAGTTTGCGAAAACCGACAGAATGGAAGAATCATTCAGAATGACCATGAAACAACATGTCTTGTTGGTAGCAGCTTTGTCCAATCCTTCTTGTGAAAGATCATTGTCGCAAGCCAGGAGGCAGCCCAGGAGGCCTCTCCACGCAACACCGAAGTCCTTGACCTGGTAGGCAACATTTGCGAGGACCCAAAACTTCCCTCGTTGGGTCGCCATGCAGTGTGGTTCCTTCAATCTCTGGTTTGTGCGAGAGCCGAGAGCTTCTTGCGGTTGTTTGCAAGTTTCAGTAACGTTTCAGTATCTCAAATTGCAGGTGCCTGAAGAACAGATTTTGTAGCAATATTATGCAAGTTAGTTTCTCTTCCGCACTTTGGTTGCTGACCAAAGCTCGCTGAGAGCCTTGCCCTTCAAAGTGAGCATGCTGTGTGATGCAGACGTCGCCAGAGATGTGCTCAATACGCTGGGTCTAGAGCCAGGATGTACTGTACAGAGGATGTGACACACTTCTGCCGCCTCTGAGCGAAAGCGACATCCGAACCTTTGGGCAAGGAGCCTGTGAACTACTGAGTGCTGCCAGAGTATTAGATTGTAGCTGACCCTCTGATCCCGTCGCGACGTTGGCGCTTGGAATCGCCGCTGCAGCGGGCAGAGTACAAGAACCTACTAGCGATGGCCTCCACCTTAAAGCTTCCAGGGCAGAGAAGGTTGTGACGGAGATGCGGATATCCAGCAGGTTGAGACGAAGGCTGAGCCAGCTCCCTCAGGGCACATTGGCCTGCAGCTGAACTTCCTGACCGAAGGTGCCTCCCAAACCTCCAGTGGATCGTCAGCTGAGAGCACAAGGCTTCTTGTTTCTATTAGCTTCTTGTTACTAGTAGCGATGCCAGGAGCCCCTAGTAGCGTCCTTGCTCCTAGTAGCGATGCCAGGAGCCCCCAGTAGCTTTTTGTTCCTAGTGGCATAAAGGAGATGTAAAGGTTGCCACACCCCAGATCCCTGGAGATGGAAGCTTGGGGCACTGTGGATGCCGCAGTGACAGCACAAGGCACAACTGGCTCCGTGCTGTAGGGGCTGGTTGTAAATACCTCGGAGGCCATCGCTTCTAGGTTGGTGGCCATTCCTACTAGATTGGAGACCATCGCTTCTAGGTTGGAGGCCATCGCGTTTAGGTTGGAGGCCATTGCTATTAGGTTGGAGGCTATCGCTGTCCGAGGCCCTTCTTTGGGCAGGGGAATCTATGCCACCTGCATATGTAGAAGCAAGGGCCTCCGACCTAGAAGCAATGGCCTCCAACCCAGAGAAGCGGGCGATTTAAGACCTCCCCGCCGATGCTCCAATGCTGCTGCACCTCTGGAAAGCGAGCTGGCATTGGGCGTGGCAGTGTTTGTCCCAGTATTGGAGAGTCTCCCATACTGTTTCTGAATCATGATCATAAAGTGAAGTCTTGAATTGGGTGCAAGGCTTCCAGTCAATCTGCCGAGATTTCTGTGGATGTTGTGGTTTAACTTGCGATGGGCAGCTGCCAAGGAGCTGCCGTGTGCGGCCACTTGTGGCTTCAGAACGCCTGAGGTGTCCTGGCATGACCTGGCCCTGGCACAAGTCCCAGGAAGCCATCGACATCAATTCGGTGAAGGAGAGAAAAGACTCGGAATAGGTAGAATTTCAATGGCCTGATGGCCTGCTGCCAGGGCCTACTGCTTGCTGCCCTCTCCGTTTCTTCTGCTTTGCAGGAGATCTCACGGCATCACCTTTCCAGCATTGAGGTCAGCAGCACAGAGGTGCCAGGCACAGAGGTGCCAGGCACAGAGGTGCCAGGTCCTGTGTGCCTCGGTGAAATTCGTTTGTGTCTCGGTTTCGAAGGTGCCTGGAAATCTCTCAAAGGTGTTGGGGTTAAAGACTTGACCTCCCAACGCGACTCGAAAAACGAAGATATCTCTGACTCAGGTCTGCTAATGTGCTGAGGAGTGGGTCCTCGTTTGTGCTGAGGAGTGGCTCAACAAAAGACTTAGCTTCCTGTGAGGCTGGGCGAAGTTGGTCCGAAAAATTTCGAAGCACAGCATGCAGCTTTTCTTTGAAAGGAGTCTGAGTCAGAGACATAGTTCTCTGAGGTGGTTACGAGTGAAAAGATTGCAGAGGAACAGCTTGAGGACCAAGCCGAAGACACCGATGTGGCGCTTCTTCCGGAGCTCGCGCCGAGAGAGGACGCAGAAGAAGCGCCGACCGAGCCGATGCCCGGAGCCGATGTGCCAAGCCTCGCGGAGACGGCCGGCGCCGATGAGCCAATCGATTTAGAAGCGGAGTCGGCACGGCTCGCGGAGCGCAAGCGGTTCGGGGAGGAGATGGAGCTTAGAGATGGTCTCATCGACGAAGGAGATGAAGGACCCGCTGAGATCGAAGGAGATGAAGGAGAAAAGCCGATGAAGGAGCATGAGGTGGCCGATGATCGGGAAGACGTCTCTGAGATCGACCCGGATCCGCGGTCCGAGTGTTCCCCCTTTTTCCCACCGGATCCGACTGATGAACTCAGTGAGCTTTTCGAGCTGGCTTTGGCGGCCCCGGCTTTGGCGGCCCTGGTACCTGAACCGCCCCAAGAGGAGCGCAGCCCAGACCGCTACAAGCGAACAGTGCAACGTGAACCCCAGAGGAGAGTGATTGCAGTGCCAAGTATCCGACTGCCCGCCTTATTTTCGAGAAACCGCAAGAACACCGTGCCGGGCTGAGTCCTTAAAACTGCATGCCCTTTCAGTGTCTTTCAGCGTTTAGTCCGTTCCCTTCAAGCAGAGCGTGAGACCTCAGGAGGATTTGGACTGGAACATGGAGAGCTTGAACGATGCCGAGCTGGATCTCTTGTGTGCTGTCATTGAGGAGGATGGTGGCAATGGCCATGGTGTTCATGATCCAGAAAAGGAGAGTGTCTTGGCTTCGGACTTGTTCCAAGGGCGCTAAGCTGAGTGTATCCACCAGGGGAACTCAAGGCTGGCACCCCCCTCTCCAGCCCTAAGCTCGAATCAGAGATGCGTTGGAGGTCTTGGGAATGGCGCATGCCAATTTGACCGAACATTCACGTACATACAGTCTCTGATTGTGCCGGCCTGCCCACGGTGTGTTCTGCTACTCAAGACCCGAGGCGTGCATGCACCTCTCCCCCTGCCAAGCCGAATTCAGGAAGAAGAACCAATCGTAGCTTCTTGTTACTAGTAGTAAGGTGCCGAGCTACAGGAGCTACTAGTAGATTCTTGTTACTGGTAGTAAGGTGCCTTGTTAATTACTAGTAACAGCGTCCTTGCTTGTAGCGATGCACCTCGCTACGGCATCTAGCGCAAAAAAAGTAAAACCGATCAACACAATAAAACAAAACTATGATCAACAAAAAATAAAAAGATGATCAACAAAAAACTATTCCTAAAAGGCCTCTTCTGCTGCTGTCCTGGACGTGTGGTCTGCGGGTCCTTTGGTCCTCTGGTCCTTTGGTCCTCTGGTCCTTTGGTCCCCTGGTCCTTTGGTCCTGGTCCGGTCCCGTGGTCTCCTGGTCCTTTGCCCTCCTGGTTCTCTTGTCTGCGGGTTTCTTATTGCTTTCTCCCTGTTCTTTGACTGATGCTTTTTGATGCCTTTGGTCCTTTCTCTTGTAGCTTATTGGCCACAGTTCTCTGCAAACGTACAATGCTTTTGGCTTCGGCTGCCTTAGGTCCTTTTGTGCACTTTTAGATGCCCCTCACTGAAAGGGCGACAGGGTACATAGTTTCTAGTGATTTCTTTTGTGGTGCTGTGTTTTAACGTTTGGTTCGCTTTGAACGGGGGGCGCTGCGCCCTCCCCCCAACCCCCCTCCAGCACCACGAAGTCTGCACTCTTGTGCTGTGAAGAAGCAGCCCAGCGCTGTCTATACTTGATTTGCATTGCGGGGAGGCGCTGCGCCCTCCCCCGCACCCCCTCAAACTTTCTTAATAGTTTGCCATTACCCCTGCCATTACCAGTACCTCCAACACCAGTCTTACCACAGTTACCACAGCTACTATCTCCTTTGCGTTGACGCTGCCACAAAGGTGGATGATAAGGCCCACCTTAGCATGACAGCCAGAAACCTTCGATTAGTAGGAAGCGCTGTGCCCTACCCCTACTACTTCCTGTGCTAGCAAGCGGTGTTCTAGGAAAATAGTTTGACTTTTTGCGCGAAAAGTCGAAAAGTGAAAAGTTTTTGAATGCCCCTGGCACTCGAAAAGTCGAAAAGTGAGACTTTTTGCGAAAAGTCGAAAAGTGGAGACGCTCACAAAAAGTGGAGACGTACTGCTACTACTACTACTACTGCTACTACTACTACTACTCTATATTTTTTGACTCCCTTTTATTTTTTTGATCCCCCCCGTTGAAAATTTTTGATTCTATTTTTATATTGTTTTTGGTCTCTTACCCCCTTGCTGCTAGTAGCTATAATCCTTTGAAGCGAGCTGTGCTCAAGACAGCACGCCGCCGCCAACTTTTGCCTTGCTTTGGTGAGGATTGTGGAAATCCGTCTTCGGGTTTGACGGCTCCCCCACGAAGACAAGATCGCCAAGGCTACCTCGTTTGGAGGAGACTTGTTTTTTAAATACTAGGCTCGTCTCAGGGAATGAATCTCAGCACCCCGTGCAATAGCATTTTTTCAGTCTTTTCTGTGATTCTTTATTTCTTCCCCTTCCCCTTCTTGTAGTATTCCCCTTCCCCTTCTTGTAGATACTTCTTTCACTGAGAGGATGTTGTGCTTTGAGGAGAAGTCCAAGGGCGAAGATGAGACGGAGGTCTTGCGGGCTCGGTCAAAGCCCTTGTCCGAGCTGCTGGATCCTCGCTCAGCTGTTCTTGATGCGTGACAAGTGCCTTGAAACCGTAGGGCAAGGAGGTTTGGCAGTTGGGCAGCTGGGCATAGTGAATCGTTCAGCTGATTTCATGGCTGGAACGGATACGCGCTCTCAGCTTAGGACCTAGGGAGTTGCTCTCCAAGGCGAAAGGCAGCTCGCTGTTTGAAGTCATACTCTCAAGTACTGCTCGCGCCTCAGATCCCACAGCACCACACAGGCGAAGACTCTTGACTTGCCGAGATCATTGCAGGCGCGGCGACTCTTGGTCTCGGCTTTTGGAGTGAAGGTATGGCTTCTTTAGACGCCTAGACTCTCAGAGACTCTAGACCTCGTTACTTGTTACTAGTAGCGATGCCAGGAGCCCCTAGTAGCGATGCCCTTCGCTCCTAGTAGAAATGCCCTTTGTTCCGTTCGTAGCTTCTTGATGAGTCTGGTCTGGTCGTATTTGGTTTGGTGGTTTTGGGATGAGCCATGCAGGGCACACCTCGTCACCGAAGAGTGTCGTGAGGGTGCCATCGCGATCGAGTGAATGGTCTGGACGTAGCCGTCAGTGAAAGGACACTGTCTTGGTCGGAAGACGGGCGTTTTCAAACTCGACCCATACAGCATCCATACGTCCATACGACTACATTAGAAGAACTTGCAATTCATTTGGAAACCTTGAAGTACTTTGAGCAAGATCATGTTGCTATTTTGACCGTGGGTGCTCATGGCGTCGTGCAAGCTGGCTTTGGGCTGCTCACCAGCATCCTAAAGCCGGCCTGTACAGCTCTACCATTGCTACGGCTGCTACAGACAGTTGGTCTGCCACAGGGCGGAGTTAAAGTTGCACCCCAAGAGAACGATCAGCGACCAGTTTTGCAAACTCACCGGAAGGCACATTTGGACAGCTGAGGCGCCGGTAACTGCTTCGAACTTCATTGTGCAGCTCCAAGACACCTGAATGGTGACCAAATGGCTCCAGGATTGAACATTTGGACCAAGGATTTGGCCCGAGCCAAGTTCTTTCATCAGCTTCATTTCCACAGAGTGATCCCCGACTTCATGATCCAGTTTTGGCCTCAAGTTCCGTTTGGAACTGGTGGGGGGCGTTTTTGCAACGTGAAGTAGGTTGGAGGCCATCGCTGGATTGGAGGACGCCGCGGCGTTTTTTGCAACATTTGCGTCCGAACCTTTGAGGTCTGGCTGCCCCTTTTCCAAGGCAGGGCTCGAGTTGAAACGGTTCCAGCGGGGCCTTATTGGGTGTGAGGATCCGCACAACAAGAGTCTGCGCCTGAGGTTGCTCTCCTGCCAAACGCTGCACGATTTTGCACGAAACGCTGCACGTGTACTGGTGAGACATGGTGTGCGCAGACAGGAGAGGCAGCTACGCTGCTACTAGCGATGGCCTCCAACCTACTAGCAATGGCCTCCAACCTACTGGCGATGGTCTCCAACATAATAGCGAATTCTCCAACCTGCTAGCGATGGTCTCCAACCAAATAGCAATGGCCTCCAACCTAACAGCGATGGCCCCCAACCAAGTAGCAATGGCCTCCAACCTAACAGCGATGGCCTTCACCCAAATAGCGGCCTCCAACCTGGCCTCCAACCAAATAGAAATGGCCTCCAACCTACTAGTGATCACCTCCAACCTTATAGCGATGGCCTCCAACCTAGTAGTGATGGCCTCCAACCCAGGAGCGATGGCCTGCAAACCTGCTCCCAACCTTGGCCTCCAACCTAGCAGCGATGGCCTCCAACCCGCTAGCGATGGCCTCCAACCTAGTAGCGATGGCCTCCAACCTACTAGGGATGGCCTCCAACCTACTAGCGATGGCCTCCAACCTAATAGCGATGGCGTTCAAACCTACCCCCAACCTACAATTTGAGACCCGGGCACTGTTGAAGTTATCTGGAAGTAAGGAAAATTATTTTGGAAGTTTTTTCTTTTGAAAGCCAGCCGAAAGGCTAGGCTTGAGCTTTTAGGGCGACCAGAGTGAGTCAAGGGGGTGTGGGGGGGGTGGTCGCTGAGGAGGACCTTTTGATAAGGTGAACCCAGAGCTTGGTGGGGGAAAGCGCTCCAAAGCGAGGGTCAGAAAAGCAGTGAAAAGGTGGTCTGGTGATGCGAGTGATGTAATGGACGCCGAGTAGTGCATCATTAGCATCATGAGGGGCTTTGGAGGCTATTTGGACAATGGGCATTGAGCAATCGAGTGGAGACAGGGACCCACGTACAGAGCAGACCGCAGCCGCATGTAGGATACGAGTTCGCAGGACAACCCGTAACTCGCGAAACCCATAGAGAACCGAAAGTACATGAGTTCAAGTCCATGAATGTGGATTGAGTTTCGGTGGGGACGCCTGCGAGGTTGACTACATATCCGCATAGGGTTCCTGCCCCCTAGCAAAAACACCGTGTCCTCGGTCGAGTGGATGCTTCTCGCGTCGTCCACACGCACCGAACGTGTTTCCGGCTTGCCGGTGCAGATAGATAGATAGAGATAGAGAGAGATAGAGAGAGATAGATAGATAAATAGCTAAAAGCGTTCCAAAATAGGACTTTTGTAAAAAAGGTATGTTTTTGTACAAAGCCGGTAAATCTGTGAGTGTCTTTAAGGGCAGGCCACCTTAAAGGCAGAAATAGCCTAAGACGACACATGTATCTGAAATGTTTCTGGATTTCCGCGGTTTTTCGAAAAAGCGACTAGGGTCGAAACGCCAGAGACATTTCAGAAATATTTTTGTCGTTTTTTGGCTTGCTTTGCTCATGATTTTAAAAAGATACAAAAAAACGGCCGGAAACCAGAGACAAACAGAGACAATTCAGAAACAATTTTTTGATTTTTGGTTCGAGTTTCCTCAAATTTTGCGTTTTACACTTGAGTTTCCCGTTTTCCACCGTGGTTTGTGCCACGCGACCACTGCAAGGCCTCGCGCCCAACCCCCACGCACGGCTCCCGATCTTTGTTTTCCCGCGGGCGGCGTCAGAAGTCGATCACTCGATCACGTTAAGCGCCCGATCTCGGCCCAGCGCAGCCCTGCCGCTGCCTTTGCTTGTGACTGCAAGAAATCAGTTCCAGTAATTTCGAGATAACTTCATATATAGAACCAATACAAAAAAAACGTAACGAAACAAGTACTTGGAAGTTATAACTTCACTATAACCTTTTTGAAAAAAAATATGGAACTTACTTATCTGGAACTTACGCAGCTTACAGGGCTCTTTTGTACACTATAGTGAACTTCAAGTTCAACATAACTTCAACAACTCCGGGGTCTCAACTTGTAGTAGCGATGGCCGCCAACCTAGCGATGGCCTCCAACCTAGTGATGGCCTCCAACCTACTAGCAATGGCCTCCAACCGATGGCCTCCCAACCTACTAGCACATAAATCCACTTTGAACTTTTGCAGTTTATTCTTGCTTTGTCTTCAGGTGCCGGATCTGGTGGGCCTGTTGACGGGACACTCGGCCGCCACGTCGTGTAACGGCAGGATGTTGAGGTGACCAGCAGAGGCCAAGAGCTGGAATGGGGTAGAGAATTAGTTGGAACTCGAACAGTTTTTTGCCGATTCATTTGGGGCCTTGGGACCTTCCAGAACCTGCAGACTGAAGGCCATCGCTATTGGGTTGGAGGTCATCGCTAGTAGGTTGGAGGCCATCGCTACTAGGATTCATTTGGGGCCTTGGGGCCAATGTCCTTCATTTCCTTTTTTCGTGAAGCCTTAGGAACTTCCAGAACTTGCAGACTGGCGCGACGGAGCGGCGCAGCAATGGTGGTAACATCGAAGATGAGCACTCCTCTCAAGACAGCAATGCGCCGGGCACCTTGTCCATGGCAAACAGTGGACAGCCGAACACAGGCCGATTCAACTGAACTGAATTGAACCTCACACACAGGCAACCCCGAACTTCCTGTGATGCTAGATGATGTTAGATCAGCCGGAGGGCTGTCAAGGCTCAAGGTGCAGGCCAAACATAGCTCCAGCTTGGGTTGAAGAATGAGACAACTGTTGTCCTACTGTGATCGTTATGGAACCTATGGTGTGACTAATGCGACTTGGATTTGCTGCACATTTTGTAATCAAGCCTTTCTGGCGACATCCACCACCATTTTGGACTTGCGGAAGGGATTGGAGCGAGTCAGTGGTTCCTGTACAATTCCGAGAGGTGGCTCGCAGTTCTTCATCAACGTGGCTGACAACAGCTTCTTGGATTGGTTTTCCCCAGGCTGATTCGGAGTTCTTTTCTTTGGAGTGTTTTTAACCAGGTCTCTGTGTCACACAGCCTTTGGTTTCCACTAGCGATGACCTCCAACGTACTAGCCAGGGCATCCAACGTACCAGCTTTGGCCTCCAACCTACTAGCGATCACTACCGGTGCCCTCCAACCCACTAGCAGTGGCCCTCCAACGTACTAGCGATGGCCTCCAACGTCCTAGCCATGACCTCGAACGTGCTAGCGATGGCCTCCAACCTAGTAGCGATGGCCTCCAACCTAGTAGCCATGGCCTCGAACGTGCTAGCGGTGTCTTCCAACCTAGTAGCGATGGCCGCCAACCTAGTAGTGATTGCCTCCAACCTAGTAGCGATGGCCTCCAACTTACTAGCGATGGCCTCCAACCTTGTAGTGATGGCCTCCAACCTAACAGCGATGGCCTCCAACTTACTAGCGATGGCCTCCAACCTTGTAGTGATGGCCTCCAACCTAACAGCGATGGCCTCCAACCTACTAGCGATGGCCTCCAACCTAATAGCGATGGCCTCGAACGTGCTAGCGATGGCGTCGAACGTGCTAGCGGTGTCTTCCAGCCTAGTAGCGATGGCAGGAGTCCTAAAGTAGTTTCTTGTTCCTAGTAGTAAGGCCAGGAGCCCTTAGTAGCGTCCTTGCTCCTAGTAGCGATGCCAGGAGCCCCTAGTAGCGATGCCCTTTGCTCCTAGCAGCGTTTGGTTCTTGTGCCAGGTGCCTCAAAGCACACCGTCTTTGGGAGGATCATCAGTGGTTTCGATGTCGCGGCCGGGCGTCGGACCGCGCTGAGAGTGGTGACGGCGAACGCGGTGAGGTGAAGATCTCGAAGGTCGTCACAAAGGATGATCGGCCTACGAAGCCGAAACCCAGATCACTTGTACCCAGATCCTTTCAGCTGTAGATTTATAGGTGCCATGCTATGCAGCTCAATTTTGCAAGTGGTCAGACAAGAAGGGTTTTTCCTTTTGAGGCCTGTGATGCTGCGGTCCATCAAGATTTCAGAAATTGCTGGATGAAAGGGATTGGAGATGTGTGTTCTTGTACTTTAAGCATTGAGAGGTGGAGTGATCAACTGATTTTTCAACTCTTGTGCTCATGCAATTTTGGCTCAAGAGCGCAGAATGATGTATGGAAGCTGCATGAGGTTCAGCAACTAGACTTAGATTGTAAGTAGGGAATTCTGTTTGGCCTCCCCTTCAAAGAAGAATTCCAGACGTGTTGGCATGCCAGCACACACGGGTTCATACTCTTCATACACCTTTCCACTGAAGATTCAAGGTGTTTCGTCCTGTTTCTGATGGCCGAGTTTAGCGATGCGGAAGCCTTAGTCCGGGCCAGCCACGTAGGGCACGAGGCTGCAGTGCGGTTGTTGCTGGGCCAAGGGGTCTCCCCTTGTGCAGTGGACACCGAGGGTCGTTCAGCCTTGTCCCTTGCATCCAAAGCCGGTCACTCTGCAGTGGTTCGGCTGCTGGCTGAGCATCTGGTTCGTGCGGGAGCTTTTGAATCCGAATGCCCCAGTGCCCTGGTGCTCGCCAGCAGCCATGGCCGAAAGGAAGTGGTGAGAGAATTGCTAGGTGCCAGGGCTGATGTCGAAAGCCGGAGTGATGGCTTGCACCCACTTGCAGCAGCTGCTGCCGGCAACCACTTCGCTACCGTGAGCGCTTTGTTGTCGGCGAATGCTTCGATTAACGCCACTTCAGACAGTGCCACTCCATTGCTTTGGGCAGCCAGCAGCGGATGCAACCGTGTTCTTTTGCTGCTGATCGGGGCCCGTGCTGATGTGCAGTGTCCAGACGAGGATGGTGGAACCCCTTTGGCCAGGGCCTCAAGAACCTCTCTGCCAGTGCCACAGGATCTCTAATTTCAAGGCCTTGTTTTGTTTTTTCATATTCTATCAACACATTCCCCACCCAAATGCTCCAAGATATTGGAATTCCCTGCCTCATGCTACAAGAATTGCTATTGCGAATCAGTTTTCTCGTGGCCTAGTACCACAAGAACTAGTACAACCTGAGGCCTAGCAGTTCCTCAAGGCCTCAGGGTTGACTGGGACCCCTAGGACCCCCAGAGCCCCCAGCTTTTCACAAGTGGACACTACATCCCTTGTTCAACGCGTGTTTTTTCTCAGATCTGGGCAGCTGCTGGAGGCGTGGATGTTCCGCATGCTTCTCCTGAGATGGTTCGGTCGGTCCCACGCCGCAGTTGCGGCACCTCCCTTTGGGTTTGATCTCATCGCTACTGGCATCCTTGCTCCCAGTAGCGATGCCAGGAGCCCCTAGTAGCTTCTTGTTCCTAGTGGGATGGACCGAGGCCATCACTAGTGTTAGAGTTAGGATGGTTTTGTGTCTCTCCGTTTGAAGGTCATGATGCTGCAGTAGCAGTGCTTCTTCAAGCTGGTGCCAGCTTGAACGTGGGCGACCACAGCGGGTGAGGGCCTAAAAATTCATCAAACACTTTGTCAACTTTGGTTTTGGAAAGGTTGTAGATCGCTCCAGTCTTGTACTGGGATAAGGCGAACAGCCTTGAGCTGGGCGGCTAGTCTGGATCTCAGTTGTGCCGTTCAAAGAGTTTGAAGCATTTTTGCTGATCTCAAGGCCATGGGCATGAAGCCGTGATGAAGGCACTTGAAAGATGTTACAAATCCTGACGACAGAAATGACACGAGTGAAGAAAAGGACAGGCAAAAGTATGCTCATGCCGAAGTCGTAGTTCTTTCACGAACTGCCAGAACCAAGAAATTACAGAAATTGAGGAACATTGAGCACTGAAATTGGTGTTTATTGATTAAACAAGCAATCCACAGGATGCACGTGATGCACCCTAACCCGTGGGCATAAGTAGCATCGCGAGGACTAGCCATTGCCTTCAACCTACCAGCGATGGCCTCCAACCTACTAGATCTACTAGCGATGGCCTACTTTTCTTCTGGAACTGCGCCTGGTCTCCTTGGATTATTTTCATGTATGTTTTCCTGATCAAATTTTCTGTGAAATGAGCTCTGGGCGCAGTTACCCAAGCACAGTGTGCGCAATGCTGAAGCCGACTACCCACCACCTTTCGCCCAATCCTACGAGGTCTAGGCGGAGTTTCCAATACTACGACAATGGCCTATATATGGGTGCATCAGATTTGGACAACAAGAAGATCCGGTTTATACACTTTTGTCCTTGTGAAGTTTGTTGGGAGGAAGTCTGAAACAACAAAAAATTCTAATTTACTTATTGTTTCTACTAGCTTCTTGTTACTACTAGTACGGCACTTGTTACTAGTAGCGATGCACTTGTTCCTAGTAGCGAACCTGGTTCCTAGCTGCAGATGTGTGCAGGCGCTTCTTGTTGCAGGAGTTTCGGCCTCAGGATGTGCTGCCGTATTCTCGTGGACCCTTGATGTCGAAGGCAGATGCCGAAGTGCGAGATTGCAATGGCATGTCGCCACAGGTCTGGGCATGGGTGTTTTTCTTTAGAGTCATAACATCTCATATATATATATATACCTCAGAGTGGAGGGTTAGGTTGGAGGCAATCGCGATTAGGTTGGAGGCCATCGCTAGTACGTTGGAGGCCATCGCTAGTACGTTGGAGGCCATCACTATTTAGGTCGGAGGCCATCGCGATTAGGTTGGAGGCCATCGTGATTTGGTTGGAGACTGTCGCTAGTACGTTGGAGGCCATCGCTAGTACGTTGTTGTGAGGCCATCACTATTTAGAGGCCACCGCGATTAGGTTGGAGGCCATCGTGATTAGGTTGGAGGCCATCGCTAGTAGGTTGGAGGCAATCGCGATTAGGTTGGAGGCCATCGTGATTAGGTTGGAGACCGTCGCTAGTACGTTGGAGGCCATCGCTAGTAGGTTGGAGGCCATCGCTAGTAGGTTGGAGGCCATCGCGATTAGGTTGGAGACCATCGCTAGTAGGTTGGCGGCTATCACTATTATATGGGTCCACTGCAAGAAGGTGCAAGCAAACGTGAAGACAATGCAAATTTAACGACTAGAAACAGCCGATTTCAATGAGTAGAACAGAAAGATTGCACACAGGCAGGGAGGCCCCAAACTATCCACCCAAAACTATACTCTTACTTGTGCCATGAGACACAGCAAAAACAACAGAAGACATATAGAGAAAGAGAGAAAGAGAGAAAGACACATGGCAAAGAGAGAAGCAAAAGAGAGAGAGAGAGAGAGAGCAGGGCAAGGAAAGTAAACAGGAACATATGAAGGAAAAAAGAGCGACAATAGAGGATAAGAGACAAAGGAAAGAGGAAGAGACAAGCAGGAGAGGGGAAGGGTAAGAGGGGGGAGAGGTGTCCGGGATGAATGGGACGTGATGAGCGGGGAGACAGGAAGGGCGAAAGACGGGGAAAGAAGAGAAAGCATACTAAAATGAAAGCGAGGAAAAGAAATAGGAACGAAAAAAGGAAGAAAGAGGGAGAGTAGAGTATAAGAGATAAAGGATAGAGGAAGAGAAAAGCAGGAAACTAGAGAAGGGACCTCCTCTGAATGCTTATGGGAGAGGGGAGGGGTAAGAGGTGGTCTCCACGGAATGAATCAAAACACTACGATTGCACATGCCAGGTGATGAGAGGGGAGACTGCCAGGGGGGAAGGGAGAAAAAATGTTCAACATCTCCATATGCATACACAGATTTGGATTCTTCTTGTGAACGGATGGGAAATGGGAAGGAAACATGCGTGTTTTGCAGCATTTGAGGTTTCCAGGTCTATATACAAGTTTATTCTTTAACAATCTTACAGTGGGTCCCTATAGGTTGGAGGCCATGGCTATGAGGTTGGATGGAGGCCCTTGCTAGTGGGTTAGAGGCCATCGCTAGTAGGTGGGAGGCCATCGCTATTAGGTTGGAGGTCATCGCTAGTGGGTTGGAGGCCATCGCTAGTAGGTTTGAGGCCATCGCTAGCAGGTTGGAGGCCCTCGCTAGCAGGTTTGAGGCCATCGCTAGTGGGTTGGAGGCC